GATGTAGCTGTTTTAGGTCTCAGGATGGACTGTCCTGTTGGTAATCCCAATACCCCTTTCCTTTCTTGGCTTTTTCCTTTTATATAGTATGCCAAATAAATGACTTTTCTTGGGTCTTTGCAACTTCAGTGGTTATGGGTTTTTTTTTCCTCTATGACCAGACATGTATACTATTCCATGTGGGTCTTTCAGTGTGCTGCTTTTCTTTAAAACATGGCAGATGGGTTCCAAGGAGGAAATGGAAGCTTCCATGTCTCTTCTTGGGAAGATGTCCAAATGTCAGCATCTTTGAGTTTTTCCTTTGAGCTTCCTTAGAGAAGGAATTGCCTGCTTGAAGGGTTATTTATTTTGATAACAATTCTCAAGAATAAAACCAAGTCAAACCTGAAAGATTTCAAGAATAAGATGTAACTAATATTTAATTAATATCCTAAATTCTCTCTGAGCCAGGAGGTTACCTTCCTTTCCCTTCTCTGGCTCCTGCTCATGCACATCAGCCTTGGCAGTATGTCCTCCACTTACTGGTCTTCTCTCCCTTTTAATACATGTGTTTCAAGTCTCCCGTGTCAGCTGGGCTCTGGGCTGAATGCACAAGTGAGGGAGGGGAGACCTCATCCATAAAATTACAAGGAGGAGGTCACAATATGGTCTCTGTGATGAGGTCCCTGATTATAACTGGCTGGCAATGAAAGACTTCATTGGGTATTGACTTCCTGTTGGTGGCCACAGGACACACCCATTGTAACATCTCTTCTTTCAATCTCCAGCTCAGGCCTCAGAAGAGTTCTCATCAATGGTTAATAGGTGGACAGAGAGGCAAAATGTGAGATATTGGGGAAAGATGAAGTGTGGGGTGTGAGAAGGGTTGGAAGCAATCAGGACACAGGAAATGGGGGTCTGTCTACACCTTTAACTCCTCATCCTCCCCAGCGCCTGGTGTCAAAGCCAGTCTCCTGCCTGCCAAGGACACTATTATTGGGACCAAACAGAAGGGCTCAATACACGAAGATAGGTCTGATGACTGCGTGTATGATCACAGTGTGGCTAATGGCCTCCTCCCTGAAGCAGGAGCTCAACCGGAAGAGACTCAGTAAGACCAATCTAGAACTCCCGGGAATCTGCCTCTGTCCCAAGGTCTCTTCCAGAAAATGCGGCTGCCCAGTCGGATTCCACAAGTGTGCCACCTGCCTCCGCTTATCTGGCCAGTCTTTGTGGTTTGACAAACACTTCGAAAGGGCCATTGAGCCTCTGCATGAGCCGAGCATGTCCATGTCCTCGGATGCTCTGTTATTGTGGATGGTCAGTGCATAATTCTGGCTTGTCCAGTGCCCGTTTCCCACCCTGCCTGCTGCCCATCTCCTAACCTTCTCCCACAGATAGTTGGAACCTCTTTAAATCGCTCCCTCCTCTGTTCCTAGGGACTTGAAGCTAAGTCAGAGATGGCACTGAAGAACAGGAAGCAGCAACCGCAGCAGAGCAAGTCACCTCACTGTAAGACCTGCGCAGTGGTGGGGAACTCATGGTTCCTACGGGGTTCTCACTATGGCGAAAAGATTAACCAACATAACATAGTCCTCAGGTGGGTGTGAGGAAGGATGTGGAGATACAGGTCAGGTCAAACTCTCCTTTGGCCCCAAACAATCATGCTATCCTTTTCCCCCAGGATAAACTGGGCCCCTGTCCAGGGTTTTGAAGAGGATGTGGGCAACACAACTACGATGCGTATTGTGTACCCTGAGGATGCCAACAGGCGAGAGCCTGGCACACAACTTCTGGTGCTCCCAATGAATTCATCTGGTCTCCAGTGGTTCATGAACACACTACGTGAAGACAGCTTTTTCTTGAAGCCAAAGAATCCAGGGTATGGTAGTGAATGGGGCCATTTTAAGAATGAGAGCAGGGGACTCTGGAGGTACTTTTGGTGGATCTTGGATTGCTCAAGCTTGAGAAGGGGGGGTGCTGTGTCACTAGACTCTCAAAATATCTCCACCCTTAATCTCTTTTTAGATTTCAGATTGTCCAGTTCCCTAGGGAAAACAAAGAGAGCGAAAATGAGGTGAGACATCCAGGAGAGGAAGGAAAGAGTAGAATGTGGCTGTGTAGGTCACGGGACAAGCCCTCCATTCTTTTCCCAGGTTTCGGTGATAAGCCTCAATTTTCTTAAATACATCCAGGAAATATGGCTGAAAAACCATGGTCAGTATCCATCTTTGGGACTCGTGGCTGTGTTCTATGCCTTGCACACCTGTGACCAGGTAAGACATCTGCAACTCCCACACTGTAATCACTCTGACACTAAACAATTCTTTCTTCCCCAGCGACTTCTGGCAAGTCTAGACAGTTTTCTGCCTGTTTCAGATCTGGAATGATCAGGCGCCTGCTCTTGCCTGCTCTCCCTGGCTCATACATGGACTTCTTGTTCTGCAAACCCAACAGCTGCCTCCCACCTTCTCTTACAATGCTTCCTCTGCCAGAATGCCCTTCCCTTATCTCCCTTGGGAATCACACCTCTTCCTTCAATATGGTCAAGTACAAGTGGCTAACAGGCTTTTCTGGGTTCTGGGGTCCCTCTGTGAATGCATTCATCTCTGTCCACCCTGTCTTCTGTGGAAAAGGTGAATTACATTTGCCCTCCAAGGCACGGCCTGTGACACAAGATGTTGAGTGGATGATGGTTGGTGCTCATGAGGGAGGGCAGCCTGCCATCCCATGACCAACTCCTGTCTTATCCCTTCTCATAGGTATCCTTGTTTGGTTTGGGGACAGACAATTCCAAAAGTTGGGTTCATTACTGGGATAACAAACGCTGGCACATGAACCCCATGCACGATTCCCACACAGAGTACAAAATCATCTTCCAGCTGCACTGCGAGGGAAAGGTTCTTGTCTACAACTGAGGTTGCCCCAGCTGACCGACAAGTCGTCAAGGAGGACTTGGAGTGTTGGGGAGGGGCTCGACTTCACGTAACCCTACATGCAGATCATTCTAGCTTGTTTTTCTCACAGGATTCCTGGGGGCTATACTTGATCCCAAGTTGTCAGTAACAAGTGTATTACTACATCAAAAAAAGTCATTAACAACAAAAACCAGAGTCTGACATCATTTCTTTGGAATATTGTTTGTTTTTATTTTTTTTTTGTTGTTTTTTTTTGGAGTATTTTTATAATTTGAAAAATCAACTAGGATTTCTGACTTATGGAGGGGGCACAGTGAACACACAGGGTATCACATAGAGGACTAAGGTGTACTTGACCTTGGTATTAACAGTTGTCTCACATGTATATAAAAGTTGCACAATGAATGAGAAAGATCAGAGAATTGAAGTCTTATACCTTGGATGGTCAAAAGCAGAAACAAATCTGCCCTGAAACAAAAGGTGCTCCTTTGAAGCGAGGATGTACGACTGTCTCATGTACTTTGGACATGTTATCAGGAGGGCCCAGTCTGGAGCAGAACATCATGGCTGGTAAAGTGGAGCGTCAATGAGAAAAGGAAAGACTCTCAACAAGATGGGCTGACAGAAGTGGTTGCAGCAATGAGCTCACGCCCAGAAGCAGTTGTGAGGATGAAGCGGGACTGGCCACTTGTTCTCTGCTGTCTGAGATTGCTGTGAACTGGAACCCACTGGATAGCACCTCACATCAGTGAGCATGTCTTTGTAACCTCTCTTTTCCCTTGTTGCGTGTCTCTGAGTCAGAACCGATGCATAGTTGACCCTCCAAAGGGTTTTCAGAGGCAGTAAATTGCATGGGAGGAGACTTTCCATCCTTCTCCCATGGAGAAACTGGTGGATATGAACCATGTGCCTTTGGGACTAAAGCATAGCTTCTTATAATACGTTCACCCGAGCTCCCTCCTTAATGGTCTTTACCTTAGAGACCTCAAAGAAACGACACACCATGCCCTACTTCTACAAAGAAAACCTATTCTCTTAAGCTTTGAGGAAATTGCCAACCATAGATCTTACTCCTGTCAGCTGGGTTCAGTCCGGACTGCCTCCCCCTCTGTCTGTGTGTAACGGACAAGTCCTGCCACAAGCTGGCCTCTTGGATGACTTGACACACATTTGAACTACAGGGCAGCAGAGTTCTTTCCAGGTGATATGCTCAGGAAGGCATAACCTCAAGGCTACTGATCCAGAGAAGAGGAATGAGACCAGCATAAGGCTTTGAATACCAGAGACTGACTTCAGCCAAAGGTCAACTGTGTGCTTTTAAGGCCTGAGAATTGAAGGCAAGAACTTTTGCTTTCCTGCCCCCTCATAAACCAGGAGTTCAAACCTAGATCCCAATGTCCTCCATTATCCCATGCACCCCACCTCTGTCAAACTTGTCCTTTCCAATAATCTTAATCACCTCTCCCAACTCCTTTCATTCTTAAAGGGCTACTTCATGCCTCCTTTCATCAGTCTTTCACCAGAACTCGTAGTTGGTGTACAGAATTGTCTCAGACTCATGAATGGGTTGGTCCATTATCATCAATTAGACTGCATGCTGTCTGTAGTAGAGACTACGTCTTATGCTTCTTCTGTAACTCCTCCCTAGTAGGGCACACAACATTCATATAATCATGGCACCTGACTGGAATCTTGGGTAAATTCTTTAATAAATGCCCTTGATTTTCTTGTGCTCCTTAGATGCATGAACAGACAGGAGCAGCACACAAATGCAAAGACCATTTATTACTGCAGAGGAAAGGGGTGGCAAGGGTGGGGTGCAAGGATAATAAACTCGAGGTAGGAGGAAGGGTAAGGTTCTCCTCGGGTGGTCCTGGAGGCCAGCAGGTGAAGGGGATTCTTCTCAGTCCCGTATACTGGATCTTTTTCCAGGCTCTGCCTGCCTTCCTCCTGACGATATCAGCTGCCCTGGGAATCCCAGACTGGTCAACAGAGTCAGATCTATCCTTTGGCAAACTTATAGCTGTGTTGTTGGACTTGACAATCATCATCTGCTATCAGAGTGTTCCTTGGTTGGTCTGTATCCTGCCCTGGCTCCAGGGGCTACCTGGAGGCGGCCTGGGCAGCACTGGGACTGGGGCTGGGATGCAGCAAGATTGGCCCTGGGGATGTCAAGCTTTGGGTCAAGGATTCGTCCAACTTGCGGGTCTCAGCTTCCAGGACAGTGGCCTCGGGGGTCTGAGCCACAGCGAGGAGTGAGTGGGAGAGGTTATGGTGCAGGCCTGCTAGCTCACGGCTGGTCTGCACCGAGCGGGCGATGTAGTCCTGCTTCTGCTTTCGCTCCAAGGCCAGCTGGGCTCGCAGCAGGGCCACCTGGTGGCAGAAAAATCAAGAGGGAAGGAGGGAGGAACTGAAAGACTCAAAGCTACCCTGAGTCTTCCAGCTCTCTGCTCCTGTAGCTCTTGATGGACCAGTATTTGAGTCCATTCTACCACATACACCTATCTTCAATGGAAGATCCAGTGATTCTAAACCCTGGCTGCACCTAAGACTCAAATGGGAAGTTTTGAAGAGGAGAGGGAAGAATATTTTCATCAACTCAATAGAGAGGCAATTGATACATAATAAAATACCCAGATTTTAAGTACAGGTGATCCCTGATTTACAAGGTGTTTGAGTTACAAGGAATGCCACATATACCAGTGTGAAAACTCCACTGTTAATTAGAGATTAACCATCCTATGTACAATATTGTAGCAGATGTATGTTTATATGTAATGTTTCCAACTCATAAAGACAAATACAGAGTGAATGTATAAAGTAAGTGGTCACAGAATAGAATCTTGTTTTAAGTCAGGGACTAACTATGTATGTTTTGATGAGTTATCAATGTAGCCCCCACCCCATCCAGATAGAGAACATTTTAGTTACTGCAGAAATATTATCACATTCCACTTGGGAGCTTTAAATAACTATTCTTTCTTAATTATATGGGGATAAGGCCTCGGTATCAATCAGCATTTCCCCCTGAAACTTCCCAGGAGATACAGGAAGGGTTGAAAGTCACTGATTAACCTTTCCATTTCTTAGTTGGGTATACTGAGGCCACAGAGGGTGTGCTAACTGGGACCTTAGACAAGGTCTGGGACTAGGCTGAGGCAGAGATGCCTGGTGAACAAAGTGGAAGGTGCTCTCTAAGGGGTGTATTTGGACACAGAGTAAACTGATAATTCTGCTTGTTTCAGTTTGTCCTTCTAGAATATTCTATCTGTTCCTCGGAGCTCTTCCTGTCCTTTTACCTTCCTGGCATGAACCTGCAGGCCTGGACCCTAGATCATGCCTTCTTTCCCACTCCTCCCCTCTGAAGTGAGACTAGGGATTGTTTGGGGGTTTTTTTTGCCTCCGCGCACTCACGTTCTCGGTTGGCAGGCACTATTTCCCCTTTCCCTGTAGAGGTGCACAAAAGATTGAGCACATGCAGATACTAATGCCTAGTGGTTTTCATGCAAAGGAGGGCAAGAAGGCCTTAGAAAATGGATCTTTCCAGAAGGTACCTCTTTCTGCAGTTCTGCCACAAGCTTGGTGTTCAAGGAGCCTGTCTGTCCTCCAATTCCATCCTGTGGGAGACAAACACCATTCCGGCTGGAATATGCTTGCCTGCTCCAGAGTTTGAGCAGCATCCTCGAGCTAGCTCATCACAGCTTCAGGGGTCAGGCAGGGCTATGGGCCTGAAGGGTCTGCAATCTGATTGAACCTCGATAGGGCACATGGGCCTTGGGCAAGGAGAGGCCTACTCTTGTCTACGACAACTTGAAAGACAATGTCCACGGAGACCTCATACCAGAAACACTTGGGTAGCATTTGCTTCCCTTGAGGCACTTCTTCATGTAAGAACACACAGACCATCTATTTCATGGTAGCTCTGGGCTGTGAGCTAAAAATGCAGTGAGGAAGGCTGACTAGGTACTAACCTCACACTTAAAGGAAAGGTGATGGAGGCTGAAAGATTGGAAATAGTCTCCCTACCAGGTTGCAAGGCTGTGGCCACTGATGGGTAAACATCAGCAAAAAGAAAACTGGTTTGGGGATTTTTCCTGAATTCTTTAGCCAAGAAAGGGAATCCTGACCCTAGAAAATAACAGACTCTAGTTTTATAAATTAATTACTAAAAAGGGCAAGGAGGTTGAAGAGAGCTGCGAAGCTGCCTGCAAGCTCCTTGCCCCACAGAGGTTGGCAGGCGCCGCATACACCTGTACAGCAGGTCCAGGCAGAGCCTGGAGCCTTGCTCCTAAGCAGTGGGCAGATTTCACTGTCAGTGGAGAGTTTCAGAGTTCATTAGAAGGCAGGGCTAGCCTTAACTCCACCCATACCCACAGAGCCTGGGCTGTCACCCCAGGGCCTCGTCAGAGCCGAGAGCTAAGCATCTAGGTAGCCAGGACTGGGCACTCTTGCGGTGGCAAACCTGCTGTGTGGCCGGCGGTGCTGTGGCTTCACTCATCTCTAGGACTCTTGTCCGGGAAGCACGCATGGAGTCTTTCTTCAGCTTTCTTCGCTCTCGCTCAACCTGTTCAGATGCCAATGAAAAATCAGGTTTGGATTTGGCTCTTAAGACTGGAGGTCAGTATGTACACCCATGTTTGTTGCTGCACTAATCACAATAGCAAAGAGATGGAAGCAACCCAAGTTCTCATCTACAAACAAAAGGACAGAAAAACTATGGTACATTTGCAAAATGGAATATTATGCAGTACTGAAAAACAATGAACTAAAAAAAGATTAAACAACATGAGGAAGCCAGGAGAACATTATGCTGAGTGAAATTTCTCAGTCACAAAAGGACAAATACTGCATAACACCACAGTTACAAAACAGGACAGACTGGGGTGGGAGTTTGGGGAGAGAATGGAAAAAGAATGGATAGATAATGAACACTGTAGTAGAACAGGAGAAGAACTTATGCAAGAGTAATATATGAATATACATCACATGTATGACAACAATCTCTAACATTGCAGGGTGGGCTGAGGGAAGAGGAGAGAGAAGGAAATGTGCAACAATGACTAAATAAATAAAAGCTTGGCTGCTAAAAAAAAAAGAAAAAGACTGGAGATCAAATGTGTAGTGATAGCAGGCACAGAAACCTGAACTCCTGGGCAAAGTAAACGCTAGAGTGGCCCGAGGTCTTTCCAGGGTTGGGGTCAGCCCCTCATAGTGTGCAAGGGTCAGCATACTTTTTCTGTAATAAACATCTTAGGTTTTGTGGGCCATCAGGTCTCTGTGCAGCTATTTAACTCTGCTGTATTGGGAAAACAGTCTTAGACAATTCATAAATGAAAGGCATTATTTGAATTCCAGTAAAACTTTACTTTTAAATACAAGCAATGGGCTGCTTTGGCCCATGGACTATAACTGGCTGACTCTGGCTTGTAAAGGTTTCACAAGAAATGGAGATACAGGCTCAGCCTTGAAGAGAGACCTGCGGACGGCAAAGTGGCTCACCTGCTCCAAAGTGGTCCGCAGCTGGACATTGTAGCGCTGCAGTCTGTGCCGGTCAATCTCTAGCTGCGCCACTGCCTGTTGTAGGTGCTCCAGCCTTTGTCTCTGCTTCTCACCCATCTCAGGACTGGGCTCAGCCTCCACTCCCGAGACCTGTGGGAAACCTGTGTATCTCACTTGAGTAGTCACCCAGAAAGATTAGAAAACGACCAGTCTGGGGGGCTAGGGCTTCAAGGATGCACATTTCCCAAAGGTAGGGGACAAGGAAAGGTGCTCCCTTCTACGCTGAAGGTTCCCACACGGCCCAGCTTACCACTCCTGGTCCCTGGTCGGCTCTGGCAGGGCCTGGGCTGGACAGTCGCTCCTTTTCCAGAGCCTGTCTGGTGAGATCCAGCTCCTCCTAGGTCATCAAAGTGTGGAAAAAGCACACCATGCCCACCTCCGATGCACACTCACCCTGTCCTTCATCTTCAGAAGAACTAGTTCACAATTCTAATCAGGCTAGCCTTATTTTCCCCAGGACCTCTGAGCTATTCTGTCCTAGAACGTTCATCTGGGTAAAACAAAAACTCAGAGGATCACCTACCCAATGGTACCAGTAAGCTGGGACTGGAAGCCCAGTCTGGTTAGAGGTTCTGAGGTCCTGTGGAGAGAGCATGGGCTCAGGACTCACACACATGGCTGTTATGTCACCCCTTATTGGCTTACGTACGCCTTTGTAAAGTGATTACATGCTTTGTTAAATATGCATGCTCCTTGTGTCTAGAAATGTACTTCATTAATTCCTTACCAACCCTCTCATGTCTAATCTGAAATGCCACTTTTACCAGCACCCAGCTCTGGGAAAAGGTAGGCACTCCAACAGTGTATTCAAAGTACGCTGCACTTCCCTTGTCAGGTACCCAATACAGTGCATTATAATGAGGTATCCACCAGACTAGCTCAACGAGGCCAGAGACAGTAGCTGAGCACCATTTCTCTCACAATGCTCTTGACCTCAGCTTTCTCCTACCTCTAAGGAGCCACAAGGTCCACACTGGCAGCAGCCCTTGAGCTCAGTCAGACAGCTTCTGCCCCCTGGTCCTTATACCCCTTGCACTGACTCACCTGAAGCCTCTGCTGCTCCCTATCCCGCTCCAGGACAGAGGATTGTAGGAGCACCGCCACGTCCTGAAGACTGCTGATACTGGCTTTGCTCTGGGCCAGGGATAGTGCCAGGTCCCGGGCTTTCTCCCTCCACTCGATTTCCCTGGCCTCTGTCTGTTTCAGGGCTTCCTGGAGTCGCTCTAGCTCCTGCTGCATCCTGGGCCCGATGGAACCCAGTGTTGGAGAGGGCTCCCCCACTGGGGAGGTTTGGTGGCTTTTGGGGGACTCCTCCAAGTTCCTCCTCTGCTGAGCTGCTTTCAGCTCCAAGATCTCTTCTTCCTTTTGGGCGAGAGTCAGCTGGATTTCCCTTAGATTCTCACGAAGGTCTCGCATTTCTTGCTCTTCTTTTCCCTGGCCCCCCTGGATTATATCCTCTTTGTCTTTCTGGGCCAGAAACTTCTCGAGTAGCTGCCCCCGTTCCTTCTGATGTCTCAGCTCTTCCTCCCTCTGGGTAAGTGTCTGCTGGAGCTGCTGCGTGGCCTCCTGGTGTCGAAGACCCTGGTCTTGCAGTTCATCTTCTCGGATCCTCAGAGTTTCCTCTAGCTGCCAGATCCGTGTCTGGCAGGAATCCAGTGTTGCCTGCAGGGTGGCAGTGCCGGCTTCCAGGCTGTGGCTCAACTCTGCTTGTCCGTGGAAAAGCTGCTCTTTTTCATGAAGGGTGGTCTGTGCCTTGGCGAGGGCCTCCTGGAGGGCCTCCACCTGGTCCCGCGTGGCCTCCTCCCGATGCTGACAGGACTGGCTCTCCGCCCGCAGGACCTCCAGCTCCTGGTCCCGTTCCCTGAGCTTTGCCTCAGCCTGCAGCCAGCAGTCCTGCAGGGCCCTGGCCTTCGCCTCATGTTCCTGCGCCTGCTCAGCACACTGCTGCTGGAGGGCTAGCAGCGCTTTCTCCTGCTCCCGAGACTCAGCCCGCTGGTCCCCCATCACCTCCTCCAGGGCCTGGACCCGCTGACCCTCCACTGCCAGTTCTTCCTGCAGCCTTTGCATCTGCTCCTTGTGGTCCTCAAGCTCCTCCTGGCGCTCCTTTATTGTCACATGGGCCTGCTCCAGCTCTCCCTGGAGCACGCTCACCTGCTCCCTCACACTCTCCTCTCGTCTCTGGGTCTGCCGATGTTCCTGTTGCAGGGCCTCCAGCTCCTGATGCCTCTGGTCCAGGGCCTTCCTGGCCTCTTCCAGCTGACTCTGAAGCGACTGTTCTTTCAGCTCCCCTTGGTCTCTGGCTTCCTGAAGGTGCCGTTGCAGGACCACCATCTCCTGCTCTCGCTGTGTCAGGAGCAGGCTGGCCTCACCCATCTTCCTGTGGAGGCCCTGGAGTTGCTGCTCCAGCTGCTCCTTGTGCTCTTGAAGTTCCTGGATGTGCTCCTGCTGGCACTCTACCTCCTTCTCCTTGTCGCGCAGGATCAGCTTCATGTGCTCAAGGCTCCCGCGCTGACCCTTGTTTGGACTCCTCCCCTCCTCTACCCGCTCTTGCGTGTGTGGCCTCTGAGAGGCCAGCTCCCGACTCCGCTCCCTCAAGGACAGCTTGATCTGTTCCAGGTCCTCCTCCAGGATCTTAGTCTGCAGCGTCCTTTGATCCTCAAGGACCTGAATTCTCTCCTTCTGGAGTCTCAGCTCCTGGTCCCTCTTCTCGAGATCCTGGGTCAGACGCTCCTGGTGCCTCTGCAGCTCCTCGATCTGTTCCTGTTGGCACTTTATCTGCTGCTCCCGCTCCCGAAGCTCCTCGGCCAGCAGGGAGCTGTGGTTCTCCAGCTCGCGGATCTGGCTGCTCTGGACCTGCAGCTCCTGGCCCCTTTCCTCCAGGTCCAGGGTCATGTGGGTCAAGGTCACCCTCTGCATCTCCCTGTGGCTCTCCAGCTCCTCGATTGCCTTTTGCTGGCACTCCATCTGGTGATGGTTTTCTTCCAGTTCCAGGGCCAGGCATTCCAGAGTGACCAACTGCTTTTTTAGATCTTGAATCTGGCCTCGCTGGGACTCAATCACTTGGGCCTTCTTCTCAAGTTCTAGAAGCTGATGCTCCAGGAGGTTCCTCTGGGTCTCCCGGTCCTTCTCGAGCTCTTTGAGCTGCTCTCTCTGCACTGACAGCTTCTGCTCACGCTCCTGAACAGCCATCGGCAGATGCTCTAAGACAGACCTACACCTTTCCAGCTCTTGAATCTGCTCCTGCTGCAGATCCACCTCCTGACTCCTCTCCTTTAGGTCCAGAGACAGCACTTCCAGAGCAGTCTTCTGCATTTCCTGTTGCGTCTCCAGCTCCTGGATTTTCCCCCGGAGAGTCTTCACCTCCTCTTCTTTCTCAGATAGGGTTTGGGTGAGGACAGTCAGGTTCTCCTGCAAAGCCTTCCCCTGAGCCACCTTCAGCTCGCCCTGCTCTTGCAAGGTCTGGGCTCGTTCACGCTCACTCTCCACCTCTTCACTTTTCAGCTTCAGGGCTGAGCGGGCGGTTCTCAGGTCTTCTTCCAGGACTCCAGCCACACTTGCCTGAGCCTTGGCTTCTGTGACGGAGGCTTGCAGATGTTCTACCTGGGTCAGCAGGTGCTCATTGGCTGCCTGAAGTAATTCTCGCTCATTCTGAAAAACAAAATGCAAAAACACCCTAGGCTTATACTTCTCTGGCACCATCACCTCCCACCATTACTTTGGGATATCAGGAATGACTAAAACTCAGACAAAAAGAACTGGTGCATTTCACTGAAGCTGATACTCTAAAAACAAAACAAGAAACCAAAACATTCCTAGCGTGCCCCAAGGCTCTATCATGCTCACAGAACACCTGGTACGAATGAGCCTACCCTACTCTTTTTCTCCAGGGCCAGAGACACTGATGGGCCTCAGGGACATGGGAACAGCCACAAGAGCTGAGACACTTGGTGGAGGAATCTGGAAACAGTCTGTGATTGGGGCATATGACTATAAGCCAAGGAGGACTGGGAGCTATAACCCTAAGGCTGTCTCCCACCTCCAAACCAGGACCACTTTACCTGGGCTTCAAGTTCACGTAGCTCTGCTTGCTGTAGGCTGCTCTTTAAAGATGTCACAGTTTCGTGCAGTTCCATCAGCTCAGATTCCATGCAGCTCTGTTTCCCTTCACACTTGGACTTCTCTTTGGGAAAAAGAAAAGTAGTGAAGCAAGGCTCATCATGATTGGGGTGGGGGAAAAGAAGGATGTGGAGACAGATGGAGGATAAGGAAGCACACTCAGAGAGGAGGAGAGCCAAGAAGGGGAGAATTACATCAATTTTGTAGAGTCATCCCCCACCTGCCAGCTGTTCCTGTTTGTCTAGGATTCCTGTTGCTTCTAGACTCTGCAATGCCTGATAATAACGCTAACACTTCTTTGTCTGGACATACATAGATGTTTAACCTTGGTCTTCAGATTAGGTTGAGTAAGATACACGGGAGGTCCTTTTTAATACTCATTTCTGTAATTTTGCTGAGGTTCCTAGAGCCGTGGGTTGCTCTGTTAGATGGTCACTATTCCTGGAACACGTAACATGTTCTCAAAATGATTAGTCTGATGAGTGGATATTGTTATATGCCACTAAGTGGGAATCAACTCATAGATGACCTTCCTGTGGGTTTGCAGAGGCAGTAAAAATCATGTGGGAGGAGATTGCCCAACTTTCTCCCTTACCATCAGCTGGCTGATTCAAACATCTTGCCTTTGGGTTGGCAATGGAAGTCTACCACAAAGCAGTGCTCCCTGATGGAGAGCCAGTTTTACTCGTAGGACTCGCAGGGAGCCCTTTTATGATACTGTCAAAGCCCAGAGCCACTCCTCAAGTAGTCCTCTTCTCTTCTGGAGTAGAGCTTTAAGCCTCAAGACCCTCTCCTCTCCTCTCTAGTCATCACTCTTTCCAGCCCTGGGCTGTAACACAGATATATTCTCCTAGACAAGTCCATAATCCTTCTACCATGAAAAGGTTAATCATTTTGAGGACATAGTTGGAGATGATAAATATAAGTAACTTATATAAATGGCAAGAGATATAGAATTTTATGCTGTCATATCTCTGGTCCTGGGAGCTCCTGTTTGAAGCAGTCCGATTCTGGAAGGTCTCAGCTGATTGGTCATTTTGATTAATAATCAGACGTGGGCTGAAAGCCTCTGTTTAAACCAATCAGGACCCAGTGGGCAGGCCTTTGTGATTAAAAGCTGCTTGGTGTGAAGACTGAGTTACTATTAGAGATACAAATTAAACTGGTAGTTTGTTATGTTTTGGGAGAACATTGTTCTAATTGGTACAGTGCTTGTTTGTCCGGTGTCAGGGAAGTGTGAAGATGGCATAGGATAGGACAGGATTCAGATCCACTGTTCATAGGGTTGCTATGAGTCATACTCAACTCAATGGCTCCTAACAACAACAACATCTCTTCTAGAAACAAAAGATGGAAGGCTGGCTGGTCAGCTCTTCCTCTTAGTGCACCAAAACTGTATCTCCTAACCCCTTTCCCCAGGATTGTCCTCAAAGATCATGTAGAGCAGAAAAATGGCTCAAGGGAGTCATTACCAATCTCAAGATGCTTCTAGGTATTACCCAACAGTTGTGGGTAATCATTAGAAAGGGTGGCTGCTTGGCCTGATCCTGCCACTTTGAGATTTCTCACCCAATTCCCTGTCTTGAGCTTCTCACCTTCCTGGAGCTGGGAGAGCTGGATCTGTAGGTCCTGCAATTGTGTGTGACTCTGGTTCTTCTCAGCCTCAGTAACAGTTAGATGTTGTTCCAGCTTCTGAGCCTGATCCCTCAGATCATCCTGGGAAAGAAAGGTCCTGGCTAAACTCAAGTTCCTCCTTGTATCCAAAACAATCCCAGTCTCAGGCTCTAGCTCTCTCCTCCTAAGCTTCTGTGGTGGTCTGCCCTCACGATCTACTCAGAAGCTGCTGGGTTATTATGGAACTTCTGGTGCCTGAGGTGATGGCAGGCGTGGTTGCAAATGCCTGGGGCCTAGAATCTCCTTCTGTCAAGACTACAGTTACTAAAACTGAACTGATTAAAGCCCAAGGGCCATCTCATCTCTCTCTGAACTCTTGACTTCAAAGCTTATCCCAGAGGTCACCTCTGCCTTTCCCAAACCCTTTCTAAGTCAGAATGAACTGCCCCTTCCTTCTAGTTCTGATAATGCATCAATTGCATTTATTTTGACCCTATTAATCTTGCCTTATATTAGAATACAGTTTGGTTTCTCAGCCATGTCACAAACCCTTCTTAAGGGCAAAAGTCAGATCTTTCTCTTGTTTGTATACCTACCTCCAAGTAGCTGGTATATTGGGGGTGCTCAAATTTTGGAAGCAGGAGTGGCATCACCTTCCTAAACAACATGCATCTTGAAACTCTGCGAACTTTAACAAACGATGATAGGCTTCAAGTCTTTTGTTCAAAGGGTTGCTATGAGTTGTGCTTGACTCAACAACAACGGCAATCAATAACAACAAATTTTGTTAACTGATAAGTTGAGGGGAATCACTGTGAGGAGAATTTGTGGGACATTTAGCTCAAGCTCAAGAGGCCTAGCAACCTCAAGTATCATTCCTGTAACCTGACAGGTTTTTCTTGGAGGTCTTGGTATTAAGAATAATTCATGGCTGAGGAAAATATTGCAAAATAATACTATATATCAACAGGGTTTTCATGGTTACAGGGCTCTTTTAAATCCCTCATGCATTTAATCTCCACAACTCTCCCAGCAGGCAGGCATTATCTGTCTTACTTTACAAATAAAATCAAGGCTTAGAAAAATCCATATGCTTTTTATTGCTGCCAGGCAGTAAGCAATAAAGATAGAACTTGATCTCATGCCAAAGAGCTTCTGAGTCTTTTTTCTCAAGCTTTGGGTGGAGGTGAAGAGTTAAGGAAGGACAAGCGAGGAACCTACCCGGGCTTGTTGAGTCTTCCACAGGTCTTGTTGAAGCTTGTGGAGAGCAGATGCTACCGCCTCAGCTGAGAAGTCGGTGAGGAGGGGCGCTCTTCTAAAGATGCTTCTAACTCCATTCTGGTCTGGAAAAAAAAATGAGGAATCTCCTTATGAAAACTGCCCTTATGAAAAGAGCTGGCCACAGCCTGCCCACTAGACATGGCTAGGTCTTGCCACGGATACCTCCACCAATCAAAGAACCCCTTACTGACAGGTCAACTACTTATGTGCCAAGCAACATATTGGGTACTCGGTAATGCTAGTTATTATCTGTTAGACATTTAGTAAGTGCCAGGAACTCTATGAGCTAGTCTACATCTGCAAGCTCACTAATGCCTAAGAAAAGTTCCGAGATTAGAGACTTGTGTTGTTGGTTGTGATCATGTGAATTCTAGTTCACGGTGACCCTGTGCATGCAGAGAACTACTCTACAGGGATTTTAAGACTGTAGCCTTCAGGAAGCAGGCCACTTGACCTGTCTTCTTGGGAGCTCCTGGGTGAGTTCTAAGTGCCAAGTGCTTTTTAACTGTGCCATCACTGGACTCCAGGGACTGCCAATATTCTCGTTTCACAGATAAACAAAACCAAACTCAGAGCACAGACATGACTTGCCTAAGGATACACAGCTATGGCAGAGCTGAGGTTGAATCAGAATGAATTCTCGAGTTGGTGTCTAAGGAATTGCATCCTCTTCCCTCTCTCCCAGGAGGCTCAGGTCTGACTCAAAGGGCTGCGATCCTGGGTGACTGCCTCACCTGGCTCAGGGCCCCACAGGGAGGGAGCAGAGTCTCCTCCACCATTCAGCTCCGGCCTGCTCTCACAAATAGATCCCAGTGTCTGCTGTAGGACAGAGTAGAGGCTGGCCAGCTGGGCCTGGGCGTGGTGCCCGGGCTGCTGCTCGGCAGCCAGCGCCTCCAGCTGGCTCTCCAGGCTCCGCAGTCGCAGCTGGAGTTGGGCTCCCTTGGCTTCCTGGGCCCATAATGAAGCTCGCAGCTGCTGCTCTGTGATCCGGGAGGCCTCCAGCTCCTCCAGCAGCTGGGTTTCCTGGGCCAGGAAGTCGGCCTCCTTTGCCTTCACCTCCTGCCTTAGTAATTCCACCTGCCAAGGAGGATGTGTCGTTACTCCGAGCAGGGAAGGGATATCTTTTCCTCCCAGGCTGGCCACAACTCAATTCCTGTGTAAACCTCGATTAGGTCTGGAGGGGTTTCAGGGTCAGTTGTCCAGCAGGTAGGGAGGTCTCTGAAATAGGTGTCACTCCACATCTGACACCTAGCAGGTAGATGCCTACCTACTAACTGGCCTTGCCCTGACTCCTGACACACGGATTGGGCTATAAAAATGAGCTTCTGCCTCTGGTTTGAATTCTGTCCTGAAACCCGACACCGACCAGTCATATGGCCAACGTTTCTGGAACGTTGACAGTATTTCTGACACACGATCTCATTATTTCATATCTGTCCACTGTCTCATTATTCCTCATGTTCTCAAAACGGCTAGGATGATTATCCCTATTTTATCAATCAAAAAAAATCCGATGCTCACACAACTGGAAAGCAGTAGAGACAGGAATCAAACCCAGGACTGTCTAACAACCATTCCTGAGTCCTTAAATGCTACAGCCTACAACCTACCTCTCATTCTCCTTTCCTCCTTCCCCTCCTCCTCCCAACACCATCTGTCTTCTGGACTCAAGGTCTGGGGTCCTTCTGTCAGTAGACTGAATTCCTGGGGACTCCACCGATAGCTGCCCAGCTGATCTGTACAGTACTTGCTTATACCCGTTTGCGCAATTTCTCCAGCGCCATCTTACCAACCAGAACAAAGGCACAAAGATGTGCATGAAGCAGGCCCACAGGTGCTCCATCCACCCCCTGGACCACTATGTTCTGGTTGTCAAATTCCTAATGTCAAGCGACCACTCTCAGCTATAGATCAAGTTCCCAAGCCTCTAGCCTGACCAGTCCTGGCCCCCCTCTCCTGCCAGGGTGACTGAGGTCAGAGCCTACTGTGCAATATGGAATAAAAAAAAGGAGTTTCTCAGTGAGAGAACTTTAAACAATCATACAGGAATAGGCTTCTACCAAGGAAGCAGGGCTCCTAACCAGGGCAGGAAGTACCTGGGCACTGAGCTCTTTCTGCCCTCCCTGGGCCTCCTGCATGTCCTGGCGCAAGGAGCTCAGCTCTTCCCGTCGAACAGAGTCAGCTTCTTGCAAGACAAAGAGTCTCTGTTCCTTTTCCATCAGTGCCTGAGTTAGGCTTAAATAAAATAAAACATAAGAGATCAGTCAGAGGGCTGGGCCATTCTCCCAGGGAATGAAACACTTTCTTAGTTGATGGTTATTCAACATAGCATTGAATGACGATGATTACAGCATAACCATAATGGCTAGTATTTATTGTGTACCTACCAAGCATCCAACACTACCCTAGATAATCCATACATATGACACTTCATTTTAACAAGACTTCTTTGGTAAATTACAGCTATATCTATACAAGTACCACAAATTTAACATGTCCAAAACTCCATCTGATTTTTAATTCTCCTTACCCTGAGACATCTCCTACTGTGTTACCCAGCTTTGTGAATGGCAACTTTATCCATGTAGCTCCCCAAATCAAAGACCTTCATCATATCAGAGTTTATTCATGCTGTCCACACCTGACTTGTAACTAAACAGAAATGATCCTGTCCTCCCTTAATTCCCTGGACCTATTTTCTCCTCCCCTTCCCTACCACCCTCACCCTGGTTCAGCCTCCAATTGTCATCTGAAATCTAGTTTCATCATTAAAGGGATCTGTCTCTTTGACTCCTATAGTACTGGGGATATATGCCACTCCTCATTCTGAAAGGTCTCACATTACTCCTGATGTTTCATGCCATTACTATCATGTTCTGACATATCATACATGGGATCAGGTCAACTTCTCTGCTTATAATCCTCCAATAGCTTACTATTAAGCTGAAACTAGAAATTCTTCGCTGTGGCCTACAAAATCCTGAGTGATATACCGCTTGTCTGGGTCATGCTACTCTCTCCTTGTACACAGAGCTCCAGTCACATGTCAACAAAGGGAGTGAACGGCCTCAACTACCATGGAGTGGCCCCCTCTTCCCTCCCTAGAAGACCACCCACAAGGCTAAACCACAATAGAATGTCCCTCCCTTCCCTCACTAAAGACCCTTACTATAAAACCTGCCCTAAGGGGAGCTTTGGTAGCCTTGTGACAAGAAGCTGCAATGCAACCCCAGATGTAAGCGGTTTGGTTCCCTGGAGAAGGATGGGGCAATCTCCTCCTGTACCAGTCAGATCCAATTTGACAGCACACACACAAAAATAATTAAAACAAAACAAAACAAAACAAAAAACAACCTGCCCTAATCCACTTTAGAGTGCGTTATTTCCCTGGTCTGTCCCTCTGCCTGTTTCTCTCTCTACAGAACAAAGAATCCTGCCTGGGAGACCCCTTAATAAAGCTTCTTTAGCTTCCTTTCAAAAAAACAAACAAAAAAACCCCAAACCTCAAAGCTCCAGTCACATCCCACTTTCAGTTGAATCAAATATCCAAGCCATTCATCTGTCTCAGGGCCTTATACAAATGGATGGTTGCAGGGGAGCTCTGGTGGCCTAGTGGCAAGGAGCTACAACTACAATCCCAGAGGCGCACGGTTCGAATCCACCAGATGCTCTGCCGGGGAAGGAGGGAAAATCTGCTCCTGTACCAGTCAGATCTGATTTGACGGTACACTCACACAAAAATAATAAAAAAAAAATTTAAAAAACCCAACAAATGGATGGTTACATCTCACACTCTCTCATCTAAACTGTAACCTCCAGAAAATGCCCTTACCTAATGACCTCTCCACATAGCTACATAGACAGACCAGACCTAGAGATATGAAACGCTCAAGAACTATCTGCTAGGTGACTTGAGTAAAGAAGCTATCAACCTCACAGTGACCACTGTAGACAGACAGGCAAAAAGTCAACCGCATGGCTTATCTAAATTACCTGGCTTTTTCTCTTTCCAGTTCCTTCTGAATCTGGCTATATTCCTGACACTCTTTTAGCTTCTCCTGGACCTCCTGTTCCATCAGCTTCCATGAGTCATCCTTGACAACCAGCTGAGATTTCAAATCCTCCACCTAGAAAGTTAAATGCATGAATTTCAAGAGAGGGTAGGGGACCAGTGGAAGAGTCTGTCTCTAAGGGCGTTAGGCCCTTTAAGGCTTTTATTGTCACTGGCCCATTTCAAAAGGTCTGGAATCTCTACCAATCCCTCTGGTTGTCCTTAGCCACGTCTGGGTCCCCAACATCATTCTTTATAAAGGCAGGCCTGAATAACAATCTTGGCAGTATGAAACTATTCTTAGAGGCAAAGTGCTGAATAAATGTATATCTATCTATGTATCTATCTATGTATCTATCTATGTATCTATCTATCTATCTATTTTTGGTGGAGCTCCCCGATTAAAACAAGCTTGGAAGCCGGAATGGCATCCACTTCCAAAATAGCTTGCCTCTGGAAAGTCTATGAACTTGGAGAAATGATGAAAAGTTATACAAGTGTTCAGGTCTTTCGTTCATAGGGTCGCTGAGTTGTCTACAACTCAACGGCACACAACAACAACAACAACACACACACACACACACACACTGGCTTAGTCGTGAGGAACTGAGCTGCCAATCCAAAGACTCTTGGTTCAAATCCACCAGTTGTTCTGTAGGAGAAAGATGAACAACCTCCGCCTGCTGTGTGGTTTACAGACTCTGAAAACCCAATGGAAGGTTAGCTAGGAGTCTGTTCCAACTTAATGACACACAACCATCACTATATATACATATATGAATTCAGAGCATCAGTTATTTGCATAGGATTTTGAGAGGGAGAAACATCTGAGTAGAAAGTTAAATCTCCTAATAATAAAGACTGGATTTATGGGGAGGCTAGGAAGAACAAGTGAAACTGGGACAGCCAAAGAGCAGGGCTGAGTACCCCTGAACTTTCCACTCAGTCCTGTGGCCAACTCTTCCCATCCCAGGCTCCTGGCCATGGCTGTTCTGAGGAGGGAGTGAAGAACATGGTGCCGAAGGGCTGTGGGGCTGGATGGAGAGAAGGCGGTCACCTGCTTCTGCAGGTCCATCTTGTCCTGCAGCAGGGTGCTGCCTTCTGCTTGCACAGCAGCGAGGTTATCTCGGTGCTGCTGGGCCGCCTCCTCCAGCTCCCGCTGGGCCTCCTGGAGCTGGTGCTGCAGCATCCCGCTGGTCTCCTGCAGGAGGAAAACAGCAATGATTAGAGGAAGACTTCTGGGGCCTTGGTCTTGAAATCCTTGTCGGCAAAAGTTGAGGGTGGACCCAGGAATCTATGTTGTTTTCATGATGTTCTTGCCTCCTTAAATCCATTTATCTTTCCTCAAAGTGCCTTTCCTTTCTCACTAAGGGTATTGACTCTCTTGGTCAGGGTCCTCATGTTGGCATTTATCTCTTACTCAGACCATTCTCACAGCCTTATTCTCATATCCTTATTTCCATTTGTGCTCTGGAAACACCCCCTTGATAAGTTACCGAAAAACTAAGTATTAAATTATGTCCAACCACCATTTTTAAATACCATTCAACAGTTTCATTGCCCTTAAAACAAAATCCAAGCACCATTCTGATGCCATGGGACTCCTTCCGACCTCTTCCCTCTGGGTTTATCATGCTAAAGACACACAGACCCCGTTTCTGACCTTGACTCCTTTCCTTTCTGTCCCAGAACCTTAGGATAACATTTCTTCTACCTAAAGCATACTTCAGGGAGCTCTGGTGGTTTAGCAGTAAGGAATTGTGCAGCTTATGCAAAGGTATACACTTTGAATCCACCAGATGCTCAGTGGAAGGAAGATGGGCTATCTCCTCCCGTGTGATTTAGTGCCTTTGAAAACCTGCTGGAGGGTCAGCTATGGATAAGAACTCGATGGTACACAACAACAAAGAGCATTTCAAACAGCTTGCTTCTATTGTTATGGTTTTCTAAAATAGCTTTATTGAAATATAGTTTACATACCATGTAGTGTACCTATCTGAAGCACACAATATTTTAAATATATTTCGTTCAGCTATCACCACGGAACATTTTCATCATCCCAGGAAGAAATCCCACACCCTTTAGCTGTCACTCCCCATATCTTCCCTAAACCCATCTCCAGCCCTAAACTCCAAACTCGCTGGTGTGGAGTCTATGCCAGTTCTCAGTGATTTGAGCGCTGTACATCTTTAAAGACTGCCACATCTTTCTCTCACAGAGTAGTTGGTGAGGCCGAACTGCTGACCCCTTGATTAGCAGTTAAGCTCTAATTATTCCACACCTGGCTTTGAATCTCCAGCTGCTATGTAATCTACTTTCTGTGTCTACATTGTTGAGTTAGTTCCAACTCTGAGTGGCTCCATGTACCAAAGAACAAAACTTTCCGGTTCTGCACCATCCTCATAATCGCCACGTCTATTGTTGCAGCCACTATGTCAATCCATCCCGTTACGTCTTCCTCTTCTTCACTGATCCTCTACTTAACCAAGAGGGAGCTCTGGTGGCCTAGTGGGTTAAGGAGTTGTACTGCCAATCCAAACGTAGGCAGTTCGACTCCACCAGCTGCTCCAAGGGAGAAAGATGGGCCATCTCCTCCCATGCAATTTACTCTCTCTGAAAATCTGTCGGGGGCGGGGTGTGTGTGTTAGCTATGAGTTGGTCCAAATTTGATGGTATACAACAACTTAATCAAGTACTACTTTTTCCAAGGACTGGTCTCTCCTGTCTAAAAGTATGTGAGATGAAGTTTTGTCATCCTCCCTTCTAAGGAAGTCATTTCATACAAAAGTCTAAATCATAAAATATGTGGCCTTTTGTGACTGGTTCCTTTTACCAAACATAATATTTTCAAGGTTTATCTATGTGGTAACATGTGGCTAGCTACTTTTTTAACCTTCACGTCTCATCTTAAATGTCACCTTCTTAATGAGTCCTTCAATCAACTAACTAACTCTAATGAGTCGTTCAATCAACTAACTAATTGCTGTTAAACTAGGACCAACTCACGGCTGACCCTCTAGTGGATTTTCAGAGGCTGTAAGTCACATAGGAGGAAACTGTCCTATCTTTCCCCTGAGGAGCAAGTGATGGATTCGAACCACCTGCCTTTATGTTGGCAGCACAACTCCTTATCCAGGAAGTCACAAAAGTGGTCTTTTTAAAATCACTCTCAATGATATCATCATATTTCTTTCCTTCACAGCATATATTACAGACAAATTATTTATTTTACCTCTGCTTGTTTTTCTCTTGTCTCTGCCAACAAGAAAGCAAGTTCCTTGAGGGCATGGACTGTATCTGTCATGCTCCTCTGTTGTGTCACACCTCTATGTGCTTAATCAGCCGTCAGCAAGTACAGCACCTAGTATTCATTGTTGGATGAGCACATGAGTGTAACTTCTCTACTCCCCTGCCCCGGCCATCCAACACACCTGCTCCTTTAGCTTCTGAACCTTCATGTCCTGCCTCAGCCGTTCCAGTTGTTGGCTGGCATCAGCCAGTTCCTTCTGGGTCCGCAGAAGAGTCTCCAGGAGGGACACTCTCTCCTGCTCTGTTTCGAGTTGCATCTGCAGAGGGGCAGGAGGGGCAAAGGCTTGCTGGGTCAGGGTTACCAGCTCATCTATAAGCACACTGCAGTGGCTCTATGGCTCTTCTGGTGGGGGCCGTGGGTAAAGGATAGTCTGAATTCACTGACGCAGAACCAGGAAGTACAAAGACTGTCATTGGTCTACAAGCAGACGGGAAGTGGTAAATGTGAACCCTCCCTCAGGAAATGGGACATGCTGTTGGGCCAGCAGCTAACGGGGCTCATGCTCTGCTCACTGGCAGCACAGTGTGCAAGCTGTACCCTCCCTGGGGAGCCCTTTTGCTGCATCACTCTTGGAGTCAGGGGATCACAGACTGGACGTGCAGCTCCAGCCTTCAGGACTCCCCACCTGGCACAGGGCACTCTCGGCCTGGGCCCGCTCTTCCTCCTTCTGTGCCCGGACAGCCTCGGTTTCTGCCTGCTGCTCCTTCAGCCTCACTTCCAGCTCCATTTTCTCCCTCTTTAGGTCCTCCACAGCCTTATCTAGCTCCTGCTGGTACCAGGAGCGCTCTTTCTCCTGGCCACAAGAAGGAAGCACTCAGTTAGAACTGGAAGGGTCAGAAACAGCAGGAGAATTGGATCGGAATAGCTATGTGACCTTCATGCATCTCTAAGCATGTATCCTCATCTGAAAAGTAGGGCTACTCATCCTTATCAGATTTTATAAGAATCAAAAGATAATTACTTTAAAAAGTCCAAATGATACATGTAAAGGTGCTTTCTAAAGTGTAATTCCCCTTAACCTAAGCTCTGACTACTATTTTAAAGCAACCACAGCACAGGTGGCAGCCCTCATGATGAACTGGGGCAGCACTCTGTTGCTCACATGCTTCTACTCAAAGCTGCAGAATCAGTTTCTCAAAACATGAGGCTTAGCAAATGAGTCCCTGGATGGTGCAAACACTTCATGAGCTGGGCTGCTAACCAAAAGGTTGAGGGTTCAATTGTACGCAGAGGCACTTCAGAAGACAAGTCTGGTGATCTACCCTCCTATCCCTAATACAGACAGAAACACACACACACCCCCAATGACTAGCTAGGTTATCTCCCTATCTTACACATGGGCATTAAGACAGGGAGACTCTGCCTTCTCTCTGAGGTTCACCAGGACCAAAGCTTTCCCTGATCTCCCAGACCAGTCCAAGCCCCTCTCTGGGGGCTCTTGGGACAGTGCTTGAGAGCTTGGGCTCTGGAGGAAGGCTACCTATGTTACCATCTCTAATTCCCCAGTATTCACAAGGATTGAGATCATTCATGAAAGCACACTGAACAATGCTCAGCAGAGAAGCACCCAGTGTGTAACTGCGATCATCATCATCATATTAGTATTTTCCTGACCCTTTCCTTTAAAATGCATATAAACTTTGAGTTATGTATTTATTTAATGGAATGCCTCTAGTGTTTCAACCTCTTCCACCGTCATCTTTCCTTCCACTTACGACACTCGGGCTACACTGGCCTCCTTTCAATTCCTGGAGCACACTGAGTTCTTTCATACCACCTGGAATGCTCTTCCCAGCCCCCATCTCACTGTCCCTTCCATCTCGGCTCAACTGACACTTTCTTGGAGAGGCCTTCCCCAATCACGCAATCTAAATAAATCCCCCTTGTTATTCTTTCTTATGTAACAAGCAGTTCTTTTTCTTCCCCTGTAGAACTTTCCCCAATTTAGGATCATTTACTCATTTATGTTTTAGCTTGCTTAAGATCTGTCTTTTCCCAAACCTTGAAGCTTGAGAAGGGTAACTATGTCTAGGTCGCTCTCACTGTATTCTCAACCCTCAGCACTGGCTGGCAATGCAATTAGTACTCCATCAACCCTGCCCGAAGCAGTGAATAAGCTGTTGTTAGGCGCTGCCAAGTCAATCCCAGCTCTGTGACAGAGGAGAACTGCCCCATAGCGGGTTTTCTTGGCTGCAATCTTTATAAAAGGAGACTGCCAGATCTTTGTCCTGTGAAGCTGTTTGTTTTTAGGTGTTGTTGAGTCGACCGGGACCCAGAGACCTCGTGAACAATGGATCTGAACCCCGCCCTATCTGGTGTCATCTGTTCAAACTGGTGGTTTGAACCCCCCTTTGGGTTGGCAGCCAAACATTTAACCTGTGAAACAGTTACTGAACTGGTTAAGACCCTGAGAAATGACTGTATGAAAAACCAATGATTTGTAAACCTTCACTCATACCCCACCCCAAAAAAGGAAAAAGAAATAAGAGACAGAGTTGAAAGGAAAAAACCCCCACCCTAATCAAATTTTACACTCTAGTTCCAAAAGTTAACAGGAAAGACGGAAAATCCCAATTTTACTCTTATCAGCAACAATATTTGGCCCAGGAGTCAGCAGGTGGAGTAATCACTTAAGCGAGGTCATGTGTGTGTCACCCACCCGCCTCCAGCCATGTTCGGCACTGACCCACTTCTCCTGGAGCCGGTCCACCTCCTCCTCATGGGTTGCCTTCTGCTGCCTCAGGGCAGCCTGGCTCTCTTGCTCAGCCTGGGCCAGCTGTCTGACGGCTGCATCCCGTTCCTGCTCTGCCCGGTTCCGTTCACCGTCCAGTTCCAGCTTCAGGCACCTCACTTCCCCTAAGACGCCAGGAACAGGGTCAGGTCTCTGAGTCTCTGCCCTGCCCCCACTTCATGAGGCCCTCCTATCTCAGAGGCCTTGGGCTTGTGAGGATGGCTTTCGTCATCCTCAGGCACTGAAATGGGCTCTAACCAACTGGGGTTGGGTTCTCACCTTGGATCACATCTTTGGCTTGTGTGACAGTTTGAATCTGGACCTCCAGCTGCCCCTTGGTGACCTCTATCAGAGAATTTTGTTGCTGGGCCTCAAAGAGACTGCTCTCTAGAAGCTCCTTGGCTGAGCTATGAGGTTTAGAAACCAGAAAGACTTGTTACCCTTCAAGGTGCTTATGGTTGATGCTGGTCCCACTGTGTCAATTTTTGACTCATTGCAACCCTATGTGACAGAGTAGAACTGTCCCAGAAGATTTTCTAGGTTCTAATCTTTGTAGAAGACTGCCAAGTCTTTACAGAGTGTTTGGGTGGGTTTAAACTGCCAACTTCTGTTAGCAGCTGAATGCTTGGCCACCAAGGCCCCTTAGCCTTCATTAAGAAGAGTGAGGTGCTAAATACTAGCTACCTGGTGGCAGTATAAACTGCTAACTCTTTTGAACCTAACTGGGTAGGCAGGAAGCTTAGCTTGGCTACACCTCACCTCACCTCACCTCACCAAAGCTCTGCTCTACCCTTGGCTCAACAGGTCTGGGCCCTACCTGAGCCCCCGTAGTTGCTCAGAGAGGCCCAGCCGGTCTCGCTCCACAGCCTGCAGCCGCACCTCCAAAGCTGCCTTCTCTCGTACTAGGGCTTCCTTCTCCTGGACCGCTCTGGCCAACACTTCCTCGTGTTGTTTTGCCTCCTGCTGCAGCTGTTCTAGCTGAGTTGTGGCAGCTTCCTGCTGGTGGCACACCTGAGGGGAAGAAAAGGATGAGACTCAGTTGGGGCACGACGTTTTCTGAACTTAATTCTACCAGGTGAGAGCCATCAGCTCAAGAGATTGGGAACCGAGGCCCCTGCCCACTTTATTCAATTGATATACTTCCCTACTCAAGGGCACCTAACAAAACTAATTAACCCATTAGACAACTCCAGCAGCCTAGTGGGTAGGGATTTATGCTGCTAACCCAATGGTGGTGCCTGCTGGTGGTTCACATCCATCGTCTGCTCCTCAAGAGAAAGATGAGTAACTTCCTCCCACGTAACTTAAGGAGTTTTGGGTCTAATGGTGAAGACAAGTCAACAGACAACATCAATAGAGTGTGAAAGGTGTATGGTGAAATACGCATGAAATGCTATCAATAGAAGTACCTATTGTGAAGTAGGGGGCGAGGGGAGTGAAAAGTAGGGGTGTGGGGAATGAGAAGTAAGGGTGAGGGGAGTGAGAAGTAGGGGTGAGGGGAATGAGAAGTAGGGGGTGAGGGGAGTGAGAAGCAGAAAAGGGAGTCCTGTAGAAAGTGAGGAATGGAGGAGAGGTGACACTAAGGTGGCAGGACTAGTGAAGAAAAGCGCCCCGGAACTCACAATTGCAAGCAGTCTCATGTATAGGCACTGTCATCACCACTTTTTGCAGGTTAAGGTGGAGGAGAAAGAGCATGGAAATTTTTAAAAGGAAGTAATAGAATGACAACTAAAAACTCTGGAAAGTCATTTCTAGAACTAATCATACTAAATTTACACAGTTGTGTACTGTCAAGTCGGATCTGACTCATAGGTGACCCTCCAGCAGTTTTGTAGACGCAGTAAATCACACAGGAGCAGACTGCCCATCTTTCTCCCGTGAAGCAGCTGGCGGATTCGATGTGCCTTTGAGTTGGTAGTGCAGCTCCGTAGATGTGCATATGTTCCCTCAAATACACCTACTGTAAATCCTAATTTGATCTGGGAATGCGTTGTCTTTGTTATGTTACTTAGACAGGACTAGTGTAGGGTGTACTTTGAGTCCATTTATTTTGAGACGACTGTTAACTAGTGGGTGAAAGAGATGAAGAGATGGGGCAAGAGAGATACTAAGCCACCTGAATTGCCCAAGAAAATCTCAGGGAGACAAGGACCTTGTTTCAGAGCTAAGACAGAGAGATGTCTTCTCCTAAAGCCAACCCATTGAATTTGGACTTTTAGCTGGTTAACTAAGAAAATAAGTTTGTCAAAGTTACCCAGTTTGGTATCTCTGTTACCAGCACTAGATAGCTAAGACAGCATGTACACACACATATGCCATTGCTCTACCAGGTTGTTCCTGGAGGCTACAAACAGCTGACTTTAGTACAATTTACAAACCAAGCCCTGTAAAACCCATTATTTTAAAAATTCAAGATCCTAAAAAAAAAAAAAGAGTGCTATACACACACATAAAATATTATTATTATTACTACTGTATTACTATGTTAAAAATGTTTGCTGTATAACTGTATTATGATGTATTTCAAGGGGCCTGAAATCATCTGTGGCTCCTTGGGAGAAAGACGGACAGTCTCCTGCTTTTAGGATTTACAGCCTTGGAACCCTGGTGGAGGGTCTCTCCGAGGTGGAACCGACTTGCTGGCAGGAACTGTTATGTTTACTGCTATGTTATTAGGCTACACAGATGCTTTAGTGTTTATGGAAGTGTTTTTAAATTATTTTTAATGCATGTAAATGTACACTATAGTCTAAGACAAACATGTGACATCAGTTAGATGTTAAATATGAATCATACCTCTGTTCTGGCATATGTACAAATTTGACTTCAAGACAGTCATAGGAAAGGAACTTGCTCGTAATCTGAGAACTGCTTGCATATTTCTTTCTTAGAAAAAATGGAAGACTTAGTAGCACTGGTCACTTTAGAAAGGAAAACTTCCATCCTGGTAGTGTTCTAATTTTAAGTAATGTGTATTAGTGAGCTCTGCTGCCACAGCCTGACTATGGGGATTTGTGCTGCTAACCCAGAGGCTGTGTCTTGTTGGCAGTTCAAATCCACCAGTGGCTTCTTGGGTGAAAGATCTCTTCTCTTGTGATTTAGAGCCTCAGAAAACTTGGTGGGAGTCCAACTCTGTGGCAATAAGTTTGAGCGGTTTTTAGAGCATGCATTAAAATCTAAAAAGATGGCATTTAGTTTGTTTTGTTTTCTTACCTCGCTTAGTTTCCCCTGAATTTCCTCCTTTTCTTCTCGGATGTTCCAGAGATCTGCTTGCAGGTCAGCTCTGGCTTCCTCCGCTTTCTGCAGCTGTACCTCTAGGTGAATCTTCTGTTCCCATAGGGCTTCCCGGCTCTTCTCTGCCTCCACCAGGTCCGTCTGCAAGGCATTTCTTGCCTGCTCCGCTGCCTCCACTCTGCTGCACACAGACTGGTTCTCCTGTTCTAACTACTGGTCAGAAGGGGGAAAAGGCAAAGGATATCAAACACAAACAGTTGCAACTTGGGGATCAGGTACTGAGGCTAAAAGTCAGGAGCTCTGGTGGCTTAGTGGTAAGGAGTTGTGCTGTCAACCCAAAGGTTCATGGTTCAAGTCCACCAGGTTTTTTTGTTGGAGCAAGATAGGGAATCTACTCCTATGTGATTTACTATTTCCGAAAATTCACTCAAGGATCTTCTACAAGTCATTTCCAAACACAACAGTACATAACAACTCTATGTTCAAGAGCAAAAATCCACATAGGAGTGTCTAAAAGAGAAGGGAGAACTCATTTATCTGATCTAGTACCTGTATTCCAGGTACTAGATGGGATGGATGCAGAGGATAAAACTCAATATAGAAGAATCCTGCTCTCAAATAATTCAATGAGATTGAACACAGAATTTCTGTGGCTCAAAGAAGCAGGAACAAGGAGGAGAATACATGTTAAACGTATAACTTATAAACAGAAGATTCTTTTTTTTTTTCTTGTTTTTTAT